TTGGTGTTCAAGCTAGCGGGCTTGGCACAACAGAGACTGTCGATGCTGTTCTGCAGGTTGTTTAGGGTTTGAAACTACCAGTCGGGTAACCCAGAAACGCTTCATCTGTTTCACTGGCAAATGGCACTAGCGTGCGTTAGAGCGTCAAAGGGCATCAGTTTGCTCCTAAAAAACCATAGAAAGACAACCTTGTCCGATCTGGGTTATTTGCTTCTGGTATTTGCTACAACTCGAATTACTTCTCTCCTCCTTCCATACAGAGAGATCACGGAGGGAATTTCGGCTTTCTGACTTAGTGTGTAAAAGTATAAGCCCCAATTCGCAATCAAAGCCAGGGCGTACAAAGCAAAGTCTGGGCGCCAGTTTCAAATCGATCACTATATGCGTGATTGCAGATTTCGGCTCTATGAACTCTTACGCAGTCGATGTTGCTATTCCAAAAGTTTACATGAAGCAGACATGCTCAGAGATGTGACCTCGGTACAATACATGCATCTCCCAGTTGCATGCGTACAAACAAGTGAGGACTAAACGTCAGTAAGGAATATGATGAGAAATTTTTTTAGATGGCCTGCGTGAGTGAAAAAAATTTTGAAACGAATGAGAAAGCACACTAACTTGAGGAGAGTGCCTTTCTGCTGCTCAGTTATTTGATCAGAACGATCGCACAGATCACCAACTAGGTCCATCGCTTGTTTAGCATTTTCGCGCAGATTCCGCTCGTACTCCGAGATGTCCAGCTCCTCTCCGTTGCTACTGTTCTTGTTCTCTTTGTCAGTTTCATCGAGCAACTAAGTTCATAAAACTCGATATCTTTTTGTCATTTCATAAAGCACCAAAAAAGTGCACAAAACGTTGGCCAGTTGACCATTCAAAATGGCCCCGGACCTCTATGCCCGAGAACACCTACACAACTAACTCCTGGCACACATCTTGAGAAGTGCAGCCAAATATGCGGCTGAAGCAACATGACAGCACATCCAACACTTAGAAACTAGGGGAAAAACGTTAGGATTAGAAGCAGATTCGACGCCAGCTGGCAGCGGCAACCATAGAAATGCAGTAAGGTGCAACAATATGCTGCGGTAAGTGGCGTATGTGTAGAACCAATCGACAAAGGCGAATACCGAATGTGTGCCATTTTCAGGACCGTCTGGTGGATATAGACTTGCCAGCAGCACTAGTTGCCAAACAAATTTACAAGCATAATCAGTACTGGATATAGTGAAGAAAGAACGAGAGATGCGCACCTGCGCTGCTGTAGCGTCACGGTCCGAGGCAGATCCGACAACACTAGCCTGAATCTCATTCGCTGATGCTTCCTCCCTAATCCACTCGATGGTGCCGTCTTCCTCCATCGAGCACACTCACATCCCAAACTTGCTGCAGCTCATCCACAGTGACAACGCCTAGTGAAGAACAACTGCTGCACAGCCACTCTTCTGCATCATTGCCACACTCCAAACGCCAAACACCTGTTTTCCACACTCCCCGAAATCCTACTCCCTCCTAGATCGCTCACTTCACGATGAGTACTGGTTACACTTGGCCCAGTGCAGATGGCATGGAACTGTTTCCAAGCAAAACTAAGATCCACTAGTGCACTGAATTGGCGTGGCATGATGGCCAAACAGAACCCAGGCTGGAATGCACCAGGCGGGCCAATGCGGTTATACTGGAACGCACCAGGCGGACCGGCGCAAGGAATCACAGTAGCTAACCCTGTGATATACTGGCCCTCGAAGTTAGGGAAGTTAATTGTGCAGCTATGTGGTATGTCAGTTGTAGATGTCGACTTCAGTGACCCTGCAAATGGAAAATTGTTGGTCTGCAAAAAAGA